CAAAACAACAATATTCAGTGTCAAAACAACAATATTCAGTGTCAAAACAACAATATTCACATAAACAGTTATGAGGATCTTTAGCAATGGAATATTGTTAATCTGACGACCAACAGATTAGTTGGTCATCTTCAGGTACCAACTAATCTGGATTTACTCAAAATGAAGGTACATGTAAGATATTAACTACTAAGAGTCTTTAAAGAGAACCTCACTTTAAAATTTCTGAACTATCTTTGAAGTATAAAGTAGATAACTTTCAGGGTATCGACAGTAACATGCAGGCGATTGACAGATTGTAATCTTTGACATCACTTCAGCCCTATTCAGGATGTAACATTGTGTCCTCAAATTTAATTTATCAAGTATAGAGTTCAAAAACATGACAAAGAACAATCGGAAGTGAGATAAAATGACCAAATGGGAACACTGATCATCATCTTGGAAGCGATCATAAAGTCAGTGCAGCGGTATCTTTTGTTCCTTCTCCAGCTCTCCACTCTCCGAAACCCCCAGTCTGCAAACTCAGCAGAAATGACTCCTTCTGTACAAGGGTCACTGCAGAAACTTTCTTAACCTTCAGTCAAAAACGTCTGGCGCATGAAAGCCACTTTGCCACTTTATAAAAACCCCCCAAATTACAGCAGTAAATGGTTTCTTTTCATTGCCGGCCTGAGGTCCAGATGAATTCTAATGAGTTCAGCTCAAAGCCTAAAAGCCAATCATGTATGCCCTTCAGTCTTTTGTTGAAATGTCTTTGTTATTGCAGCCACGTTAATCTATTAAATATCCTTCATCATCGGTGAATGCAGCGGCTGGCGGGTTTTGAAGAAGTTTAACAATGTGCAACAAGCCTAACTTCATTTTGTTTCTTTCATCCTTTAAATACAATTATAAATCAGGCGCTGATGATTTAGGCACGCAGATCTGCAAACACAGATAACCAAGACATAATTTCACTTGCTGAACACACACACACACACACACACACACACACACCATTCTCCCACCCAGGGAGATGTTGATGGGAGGCTTTGGAAAGGGGGGGGGATTAGCTTATCAAGTCCCCGCCGTGCGGTTTGATCAATGATTGCAATTGTGCCCGAACTGCAGCTGCAGCAATGTCTTTGGATAACCTATTGACAAAACAGCGCTCACTAAACAAAACAAACAGAACCCAAATGAGCGAGGGGTCAGAGGAAGAAAAGCAAGCCCGAAAGGGGACCAACTGCCAGTCAGAGTATAATCTGTTATCCATCTTAAGTAAATGAAAGAGCGACAATGATGCGTTGGCCTTTGGACCCTTCTTCATCTGGGCTTTAATGATGAAAAATGGCCTCGTGTTCAGGTGCCAGCTCAGCCAGCAGATGGGATCGGGGCGAGTTTCCAGCATGCTCAGAGTGAAACCTATGAAAAAGGCCTTTCATGTGGCTCGTTGCGCGAAACAGGACAGAGAAGAGACTTCAGACACTACAGCAGCAGCATGGGGAGGCTGAGAGAAAAATACCCACCATCACCTTGGGATAGCCCACGGGATCCTTCAGGTAGGGTTCGTACTGACTCAGGTACACAGAGCAGGCTTCAAGTGGGGAGTCCAGAGCCACCTGCAGGTAGACAATGTAATTACAGTGTCAATAAGAATAAGAATAAGAATAATTAAAAAAAAAAAAACACCAAAAATCTGCATCTACTGGAGCGTAACTTTTAATGGATTCTTTATCTTGTCACAACAGATGTCTTGATATATGTAATTATCAACTATGTAAACTAAATTTTAGAGTAACACACTGTATGAGTAATAAAACTTCCATTTTGGTAAATCATGCAGTTATTGGTGTGAGACAAAAAAAAAGTCAGTTTTCATGCGTTTATACACAGATATATTGACAGTAAAAAGCTTTTGCGAATAAGATGGAGTGACGTTCAGTTTTACAGTACAAATATTTATTACAAAGCATGTGCAGTCTCTCTTCTATTCTTTTAGAAAGCCCAAAATATATTGATAAAAATATAATTTCACATATTGACATTTTTTCATTTTAAAGCTAGGGTATGTGACTTTTATAAAATAAAACATGTGTTTAAAACATTTGTTAAAACTGTCACTGTGTCGTGGCGATATTGAATGAGGCAGATCATCAGTGAAAAAATTGAGCTCTTCTGCCATCTCCCAGTGCTCCCAGTGCTAAGTACAGAAATACACAGTTCGGTCAGAAACAACGAATCAGAACCAGGAAGAGGGTTTTGGGCATAGTTAATCATCTTCCCCTTTGCTCTCTGCTATGCTACAGTTGGTTCCCATCAGCAGAGCCTGACAAGAATGCTAATGCTAGTTAGCATGGGCACCGATGATACCACATTTAAGTTTTCTTGGAACGGTAAGTTGTTTCTGCACTGTTTGCACATTGAGCGAGCTTGATTGACAGCGCTAAAACCTTCCTCCTGGCTCTGATTGGTTGTTTTTGACCAGGAGCTATGTTTTTTTTTTTTATTTCAAATAGCAATAGTAGCACTAGGTGGAGGTGGAGGAGCTAGATTTTTTTTTTTTTTTTGTTCATTTGTGTAAGTAGTTGCATTGTCTCTCTGTAAATGCTGACCCAATTTGAAAACTGTCTGACTTCCAAAATTCTTCCTTGAACTCTGGTAATAGCAGTAAGTAAGTGTGACGTACTCACCAAGCCTCTGAGGACGGTGAAAGCCATGGCAGCCAACAGGAGCACCACCAGGATCAGGTCCAAGGGACGCCAGATTAGCTTCATGGTCTGAACGTGTTGGGCCTATGAGCAGGCGTGAAACAAGGGCAGAGCACAGAGCGGCTTAGCCCTGGCTGATGTTTGGTCATACTTTCAACTTTACATGCAACATTTTACCACTCAAGCGTAAAAGTTTACTCTTTAAATCTGAAGCTGAATTGGATCTAGTGACATGACAACGGACCAGAACATTCCAGTAAATGCACGCTTGTGCTTTGGATTTATTTCAGACAGGCTGTTCATGCAAGAAGTTCATCAAATGTTTCATAGCTGAAAGTGAGGATGTTACAAAAAGCATCTCACCGCAGCTATTGTTGCCAAAACACGAGCTTTTACAGAGCAATGTAAAAGCTCGTGTTTTTACAGTCGGAATGCAGTTTTGTTGATATCCTTTGGTTAATAGAGTAAAAAGCTGGTTGATCATTGGCATTAACCAGCAATTAAAACTATTAAACTTCTACTTCCAAAGATAAATAAATAAAAAAAATAAGATTAGACATTAATACTTGAACACTTGTTTTGGGTAAAAGTGAATATTTAAAAGGGCGTCTTCACTTATTAACAAGACTGCTAACATCTCACACCAACTCAACTCTCAGTTTTCAGATTCAAGTCAAGTCAATGCGATGTGAATTCACGCTATCACGTTGCCACTGTGTGTATAAAATACAGCAACTGACTTGTCATACGGCGGGCATGAGTCCCCATCACAGAGAAAGGACGGTAAAGTTTATCAGGCTGATCAAACAGCATAAACACTGTATCCATAAAGCTCTTCAGAATCACATCGAAGGTCAAATCACTAATGCATCAGACTCACATTGTATCCACCGATAAGCGGCCTGTCCTTGGGCCGAGTGAACAGGGTGACGGCTCCCAGCACGGGCATCAAAAGAAAGAGAAAATTGAGCCAGAAGGCTGGACGAACCTCCGACCCGTATTTACCTGCCAGAAGCACACATCTATCAGCTTGTACTTAGCATTTCAAGGGCTGCAAACATATCCACGTAGCCCAATTATTGAACTTCCTGATAAAGATAAAAACTAAAAAAATAAAAAAAATCTCTCAAACATGCGGCGCAGCCTGCCTTGGATTGCACAACAGACCGCAGAGCACATTGCCAGCAGAGGAGTTTGATCTTGTGACACTTGTGCATATGCAGTTAGAAATGCCAAGAACAGATGCTTCAAGTTGGTTTCGTGCTTTGTTCTGCAGGATGCTTGCCCGTGCTTTGTTTTGCCGCCTGAACTGTGACGCTGATGGTACATGGCGGGGCAGATGTTTGCTTGATTAAAGCTGGGACTGGTGGGAGACAGGATAGAATATTAGCCTCACCTGCTACTATTCCGGTAATAAACACACTCATGTTAGCGCACAAGGAGCCGGCCCAGAACAGGCCCAGGGTACGATAGGCTCTCCTGTGGAAGAAACAAACAAACAAACAAACAAAACAAAAAAAAAGATGCATGCTTTTTAATGATCTTCAATTATATTTACAGAAACAATTTAAAAGACTGAAGGCGGCGCTTTGCTAAACTGAATTCAACATGTGACTTGAATGTATTACAAGGCCTCATTTTACAATTTAAGGCTATATAATCAGTTTTCAGATCCAGTTACGGTAATTATCTACAATGAATCAAACTGTGTCGAACTTGCAGATAATAACAAAGATTTTCTACAAAGTTTTCAGACAAGCTCGATAAAGCTAGCTCACCATTTGTTGTCTCTTTTGGCAACAAGCAGCCATTTATGTATACACTAGCCTAGAAAAGCATTGCTTCCTCTTTTTCAAATGTTTTTGTCATGTCACACTGGCAAACATCAGCTAATTTTATTAAGATTTTATGATTTCACAATAAGCAGAGCATTATTGTGAAGTGAAAGGAATAGAAGGTATTATTTGTAACTTTTTTCTTTAATCTGATATCCTTAAACAAAATCCTGCACAGCAAATTAGTTTCAGGAGACCATAATGGACCAAAACCATAAGAACAAAACTGAACTCTGGGGAATACAGCCAAGATTTTGTTTGGCAGAAAACTGTCACTGTACAACCCCAAGAACACATAGTGAAACACGTGGATGGCAGCATTATGACATGAGGATACTTTTCTTTGGCATGGATGGGAAAAGCGGTGAGAGTTTATGGAAAAATACATGTAATTCTGAAAGAAAACCTTAGACAGGCTCCAAAAGACTGGAGTGAATGTCGCCATTCCTGTAGAACAACAACCCCATAAACATACAGACAAACCCGTGGATATATTTAAAAATCAATGTCAACAGATGATTTCCATCATATCCAACTGAGCTTGAGGTATTTTGGAAAAAAAGAATGGGTAAATATTTCCGCTTCTAGATGTGCAAGGCTTGTAGAAACACTCTACAACTCTAAAAGGCATCTAATAACTGACTCAGAGGGTCTGAATATAATGTTCACTGCACTTGTTAGATTTTGATTTCAACAAATATGTCAGAAACCTTGCATCATTTCCCTCTCACTTTACAAACGTGCACCACTCTGTGCTGTTTCGTCACATAAAATTCCAACTGTAAAAACAGAAGTTCGTGATTGTAACCTGGTAAAACATGAAAAAAAGTGTATGATTGCTTTAGCAAGACGGTGTTTTGTTGTGAGGACAGGCAAAGATAAAGTGGACACAACTTGACTTGAGCTGCATTCACGAGCGCCCACCTGTCTGTTATCCTGCTGATCATCATCAGGTAGAGGATAAAGTGTGCTATTCCATCCCAGTAACACATCATGATGGCATATGAAGTCCCCAGATATGGCTCACCCTAAAACATTAATGAATATCATGGCTTAAAAATCCTGGTAAATAAATACCTAACATGGATTTCTGCTCTTTTTTTTAATTAAATTATTTCTGGTAGTGGTGTTGTTTTATGCGATTATTAACAGTAAGAAAATTCAACTTACTGTCTTCTGGTAGAAATCCATAAAGCCAGAAATTATGCCGTCATATTCCAAGGCACTGGTCAGGTCAATGACACATGTAAAACAAAACTCTGCAAAAACTGCGTTGGAAAAAGAATATTAGTTAAAGTTCCAATTCTGTTGGGGGAAAAAAAAAGACAATTATTCTTTAAAAAAAAAAAAATTTTATTCATGTTTACCACTGGGAATCAGAAAAAAAAACTATTCAGACCATCAACCTTTATCCAGCTTTTCTGTGAGCTGCTTTTGAGCTCTGAAATGTTTGCCTTCAACCAGCAAGCCATTGATTTATAGAAGAGTGTGGGGAGGTAAATTAAGTCTTGAGTGAAATGGTAGGCTGGGGGCATGTTTTAATCACACTGAGAAGCCTAGCCTCAGGTTTAACACCCAGCAGAGCTGAAAGGCCTTGTCCTGCAGGCAGAATCTAATAGAGGAGGCAACATTAAACTGTGTTACAATTCAGCTAAAGCCCTCACACCATAATCTCTGAAAAGGTAATCATTTTAAGTGCTATTTCGTATCACCTGCTTTTTTTTTTCTTTCTTTCTTCGCATGTAAAAAATAAAAATGTAAAAAATAGTTCATATTCTGTGAACGCCGCATGTTACGAAGCAGCTCTGGGATGCCACGTTGGGCTATTATGACACATTAAAGACGCGCGCCGACTGAGATGTTGACAGCCACAATAATGTGGGCTGGACCGAGTGTTTTAAATATCAGAAGATGATGTCCCTCTCAGTCCCCCTGGTTTTAATTATAAATGGCTGCTGCAGCCACTCTATTCTGTGTCCCTGCAGGACCAGAAAGTAAGAAAAACGTACCAAGAGAAACCTCAGATATGTGTAGCTCTTTTATCAGCATTCTCGCTTTTATCACTTCAAATTCTTTGACATTTGTAGCTGTATCTTCAATATTTTTAAACCCTTTTGCTGAATGTGGAATCAGTTTGTGTTATATACGTGTTTAGAAACAGCTTCTCACTTTCCACATGCACGGTCATATGGGGACAAAATCTTAACACAATGGCTAAAGACTCCCAGTCTGTGGAGGAGGGTACGGGGGGGTGGGGGGCGGGGGGGAATTGAACCAGTCATGCCATAGAAAAGTCTGATTAGACTTTGCTCTGATCCTGATCAGTATAAGCAGCTTTGAACATATCAAGCAAGATCATATTGGGTAAAATTCTTGTTTTTCACTCTGATATAGTGAGCAGTGGGTGAAGCTTCTGGAAATCCTTGAGTTCAGCTCGGTACCGAAGTGTGGAGGGTATTTAAGGTGTTCAAATCCGGAGAATTTCGAAACCCTATGTATGTGCGCAAGTGGGTTGAGAAGTGCACATGGTTGCGTTGATTACCAAAGAATAAGAAGTCTTTAGGTGGGTTGCCACGAGTGATGAGGTAGTAGAAGAGAAACACAATTACCAGCACAGCGACACCGGTCTCCAGGATCACATAAGGCCTGTGGGGGGAAAAAAACACGTGACTGGAAGTACAGCGATTCCACCATCACAGCACAATTTCTCTTCCTCGTTCTTTTTGACTGAACAGTTTCTTCCAGGGGGGGAATTGTGCTGATCTTCTCTGCGAAGCTAAATTACCGACTCGCAGGAGGCCAGATTGCACAACGTACATGCTGAGATTTGAGAGAAATACCTGGTTGTTTGGTTTTCTTTTCACGATTATCTTATTTTGCTTTGTCATGCAGTAGAATGATAGTAAAACATCAAGCACATTTACATTTCAGCTTAAGGTGCATATAGCTTTAAACCCAAATATCTTTTGTTTTTTTTTTAGCTTTATAACTTTTTAAAAGAAGAGAGCAAGGAAGAAGATCCATAATGCTAATAAAAAGCTTTTTTTTTTGCACATGCAGCAGTTTCAGAGCTTTAAAATCCCTGTGCCGTGTTTCTTATAAATATTTATGCTCAGACGAAATATTCCCTATCTATTGTTTTAAAACTACATCATGTTAATTAGTCACATCGATCTGAAAACGTATCGCCTCTGCAACGCGGTTGCCTAATGTTGCGCTAAACCAGAATTACAAGTTTGACTGTAATCATAAAGGAGCCATTAAAAAAAAAAAAAAGCTTTAATCAATCATAAGCATCAAGGAGAGGAAACACTGAGGTAAGGCTATATGTAAGTTCAACACGGCTCTCAGTGTTTACTGGTCAAACGTGCCACTGGAAAAGATTAATGTGGCCGAGATATCTCCAGGCAAGCAGAACAACAACCACAGGGAAACTCTCCACGTCTGCTCGCAGAAGGAAAACAAATGGCTCCCGCGTGGAAGGCGGGCCTCCCCGACTCGACTCGACTGTACGGGAAGATTTATGCACACTATATTGTTTGTTTGCAGAGTGTAAGAGCACAAGGCATATGGCCTGTCAAGAGCAATTCATCAAATTCTTCTGTGCAGTCTGAATTGGCTGTCATCACACACACACACTTGAAAAAAATAATAAGGAAAAGAAAAAAACAGAACCAGCTGAAATATTCACCTAAGAGGTGCATAAGAGATGCACCTCGGAGATAAGAGATGCATTGGGAAAAACACAGAGGAGTGGACACCAACTAGGGCTTTGTTTATGTAGAGTTAAGCTTTGCAGTGAGCAACCGTGAAAACCTGCGAATGCTATGCAGCTTTTATCCAATGAATTGACAGGAACATGTGACCAGTAAGTGAGAGAATTATTCCTTGCAGCTGAAAGAAGTAATTATGTTCAAGATGATATCAGAATGTCTCCACAGGTTCAGCTTGCTGTTTTCTATTGTGACATCTTTTGCTTTCCTACCCCCCCTGAGAAAGTCAGATTTATTTTTATTTTGGAAGGGCAATTAAAATAGTCTAACGAAAGCAGTAATTATATGATGTATTGCTTAGTTGCAGCTGATAAAAGGCAACTGTGAGCTTGCAGAGTCCTCTACTGGCGGTAAAGTTCATATTATCACACGGCAGAGGAAGGATTACAATATTCTCCAAAAAAACATTTTAACTTACTGCATATTATCAGCTGTTTAAATCATTAATAAATACAAGTATTGTGAGCACATTTTTAAAAAAAATAATTTAAACTTCCCACTTTGTGTTACAATAAATTTTTGATATGCAAAACTCTTTGATTAACTGTGTATTGAAGCAAAAACAAAAAAAAAGAAAATAAAAAAGATCACTAAACATATTATTACTTACTCTTGAAACTCAGGGGTGGTGTTCATTGCATAAAGAACACCAAGGGCAGAAAACGAAAATAAAAACACTAAAGTCTCCATTTCTTCAAGTGGTTATTGGTCCCCTCCCTGCAGAATACGGAGAAAAGTTGAACATAAAGGCTGATTATATTACGCCTGTTGAACCAATATCAAATCATTGATCTGTTTCTAGAAACTAATATTCATCAAGTGTGCTATATTTGAAAAAAAAAAAAAAGATATTTAAATAATTTATCATGTATTAAGGTAAAAAAAAAAAAAGATTTACAACAGAAACAGCGCAGACTCTTACCTTCTGGCTACCCTTTTGGTGGATTAATCGAACTACAGCTGGACGGAGGCGCACAAGGATTTTTCTTTGGAAAAGAACGAAGTGGGCAACAAAGAGACCCTTGAGTCAAACTTATGCAATCTGAGTGTGAGCAGATTTACCTAAGACGTATTAGAGGATTTTAAGTTACACTCATTCCTGTGTTGTGCTGCAATTAGTGCTGTGTTTGAAATAAACAAAAAATGTTCTTTGAGTTAATGCTCCCAAAGGAATTTACAGACTCAACTCTACAGTTCTACCTTATATAGTAAACATAGTGCTTCCTCCTTAGCAGCTTTGCTCTTGTTGTTCCATAAGTGAGCTTTTTATTGTGTTCAAATACCTGCTGGAATGCGTTATGTGTTTTCCCGTGACATGAGTTTATTGGGTTTCCTCTCTCCCTCTGAATGTGTGCTGCTCTATCTGGCATCATCTGTTTTATTTGTCTGTTTCCCCAGAAGAACTGCAAACGGAGATTAAAAACACAGAATGCATCAAAAACACTGACGACGTAACCACATTAAAAACAACAAAATTTTAAAGTACTAAAATGTAACCAAGTATTAAGCTAAGAAATGATAAAGTAATCTCTGACCTCTAAGGGACCAAGACTGACCAGTAAACGGTCAAAGCAGAACAGGATCTTGTAAGTCCTGCAAAATAAGCAATCGGGCAATGAACCTGGCTTGTTCGTCCAGCGCAGGTGATTTATTGGATTCAGATGTGGGTTATCTGTTGACCAAATCAGCATTTTGTTGTGCTCCTCCAACCAATCTTGGACCATGTTTTCTTACTTTGAGGCGGGGTGCAGTATCCTGCTGAAAGAGGCCACAGACATTAGAGAATACCATTTACATGTAAAGGTGTAAAGATTCTGCAGCAATCCTTAGGTTGGAGACATAAATGGCATGTCCTGGTTTTTCCCAGCATCAAATTTCCCAAAGCATTATCCTCATTCTCCCACCTCTCCTTCTTCCCAAAATAAATTTTTGTGGCAAGTGTTGCGCAGATAAAAAAAACTCACAAAAAAGGCACCAAGATGAGTTAAAAGGCAGGCCATCTCACCAGGCCATCTCACCTCCATCTACTGCTCAGTTGTGCTGTTGCTCTCATAAACATTTCTAGTGTTTTCATTGATTGCCATACCATTCGTCTTTCATAGAATCACTTTTGATAGACAATGACCACTGCAGACCATGGATACCAAACAAAAGATTTAGCTTCGGAGACTTTCTGAAGGGAAATGCAAAATGATGCCCTTACTAAAATCTGCCCAATCATTCTGTCCGACCCACTGAAACGGAACCGTGTTTGGGGTAATTATGCCCTTTCTGCTCAGGATATTTAAAGCAAGAAACTCGCTCACAGTGACTGACAATAACTAAAAGTTGAAACCCAAAAAAAAAAAAAAAAAAGAAAAAAAAGCAATAGCAATGTTTGCCTTCATGTGCCCTTGAATGCGGTGTATTTACAGAAACTCTCCAGCAGGGTGTGACAAATACTAAAAAAAAATCCACATTGTTTTATCTGCACTTCTTATGCAAACAAACACACTGGTTAGCATATTATGTTTGTCGAAAAAATGTGTTATTTGTAGACAGATGCATGTTTTATCCTCTCTTTTGTTTAAGTCTGACGTGTATAACATAGGTAGACGAATTACCAAACCACTGCGAAAATGGATTTATTCTGCTTTTACTTTCTCTTTCATTAAAAGTAGCCTTGTTGACAGTTGACACTTGAAAAATGATGAAGTATCAGAGAGTATAAGAACAACCTTGTGAGCGTCTTTCATCGTGGAAACACCACCCTCCGCTTTCACAATCACTCTCCTTTGTTGGGAAAAGGGGAGACTGATATACCAGGAAAGAGGTGGCAGCGTATGTTTGCGGGAAGCCTTTGGAGCTCTTCCAGCTCTGTTGGTCAATATCACAAAATGGACTGATGAATGCCAAAATCAGACAATGAGCTTAAGATAAGAGAATTTCTTACTGCATTTAATATCAGAGATGACATGTGCTTTTATATATAATTACTTCTGCGGGGAACTTGATTGTTTATGTTGGCTAAAATAAATGGGAAGCAATAAAACAATGAGGCACTACAGAAGATGAACTATTCAACAATAGATGGATTGGTCACTTCTTTTTATGCTAAACCCCAATAATATTATAACCCCTTGCCTTGGATTGGATGATTTCTCTTTTTTTTAAATAAAAAAAGAAAGAAAACTCAACTATCATCTAGATATTAAATGAGCATGTTAAACTTTTGTTTTAATATTTGAGCTATAGCTGACAAGTTATGTGTGTGTGTGCTGAGGGGCTTCAATTGATGATAAACTTGTATAAAACAGTGATGCAGCAGTCTATCTTACTGAGGCTAACCAAATTTTAAATTTCTCTTTAGATGAATTTTGGAAATAAGATTTTTTTTTATTCCTAAAGTTTACTTTAAGTTTATTGTGTCTGTAGTTTTGTTGCACTTTTACTTTAATTATTATTTATTGTATTTTACTGCAGTCATAAACTTCAACACCAATTAAATAGGCATTATACATCTTGTTATTTCAGCTTTTTATATCTATTTAATTGCCCTCTGAAGAGTACAAAGCACAAAGGAGGTTTGTGCATTTACTTTATGTAAAGTAAATGTTCGGGAAGGATTGGTCTAGCCTTAAAGATAAGCTCGCAGTTAAACCTGTCTAAAATTGGTCATTACAGGCAACAGGAAGCTGAAACCTAATAATACACACATGAACGTGCCTCTTTTAGAGTTTCTTAATGTGATTTATTATAACTATCAATTAAGTGTTGCCGTGCAACTTAAAGAGATTTGAACATCATTAATCAGTAACTGTGTGTGCTGGTATACATTTGAAACTCATTATGAACATCACTATAACTATATTTATGACTATGGTATTATAATTTAATGTGCTGCATATGGTCATTGTTAAGTGTTAGGCTTGTTGTAAAGCAAATACTTTAGGCAGGTATGGTCCATTAATTGCTGCTGTGAACTATTTCTGGCCTGGCTGTTCGGTGCTCTCGATCAACAAGCGGCTCTGCGCGTGACGACAGCGGCGGAAATATTTTCTCTCTATTCAAAATGGCACCGTCTCAATCAGGAAGTAAGGAAAACAACTAGGAAGACTAACTTGGATAAATATCCCGGTTTGAGCTACTTTGACCCGAGTGCTCGTTCAGAATCAGGCCATTGTCTTCGTGGATAAGACTAACTGCAAATAGCCCACTCACGGTAAGTCTCAGTCGAAGATATTTTTCAGACCAGCGACACATCGGCTTTAAAACGAGACGCATTCTAGGCAGCCTCTCCTAGGTGCGCACGTTTTTAACAACGGGTCACCCAGGGATTTAAGTAGTTTGTTTTAGTTCAGCGTTATTACGTTATATGGTGTTGGTCGACTTTGGCTAAGGTTCAGTCTATGAAAGTTTTGTATCAAATAAGCAAAACTGTGTATCTTATACATTTTTTATACAAGCGTATGCTTATAATAATACTATTACCCTATGTTATTATCCGATTTTAGCAACATAAATCAGCAGGCCTTGGGCACTGTCAAAAACACAAACTAAAGTTACGTTTAATCGCTTAACCTATTTTACTACAATTCTATAAGAAAGTTAAGTATTTGTCACAGTTTTGCCGTACACAAAATGTTTAAAAAACCTTGTACATTTGAGCGCGGCTCCAACGATGTTACAAAACAAACATACCCAAAGTCTGAAAAAGGCTACGAGCGATGCTAACCTAGCTATCTCTATTATTTATCTAAAAAGTATTGCTTATTGCGGCAAACTGATATAGGATAATACCCCGCTTTGACCTCTTCGACTGTTGTTCAAGAAAACAATTTGTTTAACCAGTGGATGTTTTTAAGTCCCTTTGGTTGTTTTTGAACAGCTTGTTAATGCATCGTTAACCGTCCGGCAAGCTAACAGTAGTAGCAGTGTAACACTACGTAGAGCTCTGGCTGCTCTCCTTTGTGCTTTGTACTCTTCAGGGGACCTTTAAAATGTATTTGGTGGGAATTATATCTCGGTTTCCCCAGGTATTTTAAGAAAGAAAAAAAAAACCTTAAAAGTTTGCAGTAGTATATTTGGACTTCAAGCGCAAAAAACGTACTTTGGTGGCATTTAAATAGACAGAGTCAACAGCAAAGGTGAAAACTCTTCTCGCTCTCAGAAAGCCATGCTGAGTTGGTTGAAAGTTGAGATCATTCTTTCTCGAAACCTGATAAATTAAGTTACAATGCCCGTAATATGTATAATTTACACTTTATTGATTTTCGACAAAAAACAGCGGTGTTATGAAATAAAGAACAGTGTACATTGATCAGTTGTAAGTTTGTACCAATCAGTCTTGGACTGAATACAATCAACAAGGTGTAGTAGAATATTATAAACATAATTACAACTACTAATGTCTTAAGTTTAGCGATTAAAGTGCTTTTGTTTTGAGCCCTCTCGTTTCTCCTCTTGTTGCTGCACGTTGCCAGTCAGCTGGCCGAAAGAGTCATGCACTCGCAGTTCAATTTTCGAAGATTCACCTTTTTGCAGATTTTTCTATGGAACATAACAGAATTGTGTGTGGATTTTTTAAATAGAGCATATCTGATACATTTGAAAGAAAATACAGCTTGGAAAGGCTGAGCTACCTGGGTGCTAGGCAACTTGACACAGTATTGGCTGACATTTACAGAGCAGCCAATCCAGGCAGGAGCAGCAACCAAATGTTGGCACTGATTGGCTGTACCCCTAAGAGCAGAGATAATGAAAAGTTTAGATAATAAGTTCTGCAGTAGTGTCAAGATGGTTTCCACTATTTATTAATGTGTACTAAGATATATTCGTGTCTTTAGAAGGGTCTCAAGTATTCACAGATTTTAAGTGTTTGTGTACATCCGTGAATATCAGGGGTTCACAATTGTGAAAAACATTGACAGTCAGGACTTGTTAGTGCTATTCATTCCACCTAAGCTACATGGGGAAAGCAATCAAAGAGGATAATGGAAACTTAAAAAAATAATATACAATTGGATTTGAGCATTTTGGGATTTTTTTCAATAATGAATCAAAACAACTCAACTACTTAGAGACAGAAAGGGCAGACCGAGG